AACCCTAACTATTCTATGATTCTATGTTCTACTTAACCAATTCAATGTGTTTTCATGTGTCAAACAACTTGGACCTAACTGTGGCTGCTGGGACATAGATACTGTGGGGATGCTGAATCTGTGTGTATCCAGCAAAGAGCAAGTCTGTGTTGTACATGTGTGTGCTTTTTTCTTTTATCAGTGATCTGAAGATAAAGGTTGGGGACAAGCACATCAGCGCTCACAAATTTGTCTTGGCGGCGCGCAGTGACACGTGGAGTCTTGCCAACCTTTCCTCAACAGAGGAGCTGGATCTGTCAGGTCAGTCACTGCTCAGATGCTTCAATTGTCTTTAGGATGCCTGTTGGGAAAAGGTTGCTTAAAAGTGTACCTTTCAGACCACTGTTGTCCCCAAAAAGTGGTGCTTAATCCATGAACGATGGAGCTCTGTCTCTGCAACGTGGTAGGACTCTTGTTAACTTGGTGCTAGTGCTAGTTAAATCAGTAACCTACCTTCTCTAATTTACAGGGGTTGAGAGTGGTTGCCTGTTTGTCTTTTCTAGAGTCAACTAAACATAATGAAAAACCAATCTATATGAGGAGCTTGACTTCTTCCTTTCTAGGGACAGGGCTTTTTGAGGTTGTGTGCATAATTTCTCTGAAGTGTCTTGCTTTTGGTTTCATAGTGGGAAATGAGTGCAAATACTGATGTGTGGTTAAAAAGGTGTTTGCTTTGGCACTTTGGTACCTTTGCAAAGTAGGTGAGGAAGAGAAGTTTTCTACAAGACAGTCTTCAACAAGACAGTGTTTTATTCTGCTGTAACTGTTTCTTATATGTCCTTCAACTGGGCAGTGTTTCTGCAGATTTAACCTCATGACAGGCTTTTCTGTACTTAACAGGATAGAAAGGTCTTATACAATTAATTTGTGAGCAATAAAACCAGACGTGAAGCTAAGCAGGTTTGCTGGCTGGCACATTGAATATTAAGCATTGGTTTCACTTTCTGCACTTAGTCTTATGAATCCTAAGTGCAGACAAACTGGAAAGAAGCAGGTTACAGCAAGGTAGTTTTATGAGACAGCGTAAGCTTTCTTGCAGAAGGATTTATGGATCTTTCTGCAGCCACAGGAGAACAGATGCCAAGGAGTGCTGTGCTAACAGAAGATGATTACCAAAAAGCTCTTATGTTAATTCTAATTTTTTGCAAGTGGCAGTCCATAGCACTTCTAGCTCCAGTTTAAGCTGGTCTGTGAATCTCAAATGCAACTGCAGTCTCGCATGCTTAACAATGCAAACACTTCCTATTATAAAATGATGCTTAAAGTGCTTCAAAATGCTAATAAATGATACTTTCAGTCTGTAAAATGGATTTTTTTTTTTTTACTATAATTTAATAAATGGCACAAGGATTAGGTTCTGAAATAGTTGTAGCAAGCAACATGCTAGTCCCTAAAGATTGTCATGGTTTTCTTAAGAGGTTCTCTTAACAACTTGCAAGCTATGGCTGCCTGAATCCTAACTTCAGAATACAGGCAGCGTTTAAAATTGAGTGGGTTTAGAGTTCATGTAATCTGCAGAATTTTCCTCTCTTCAAGAAAAGCAGAAAGAGGTGAACACAGGCCCTCTTGTTGGGAGAGAGAAAATGAACTGTTATCTCTGGCAAGGCAGAGCTGGTATTACAGCTCTAGTAGGTTTTCTGATTACTTCAAGTTTGACAAAAGATAAATTTGCCTTACTAAAACCTCCTGGAAAGGAGATGTTTTAGGATAGGCATTCCAGTGTCTTTCGGCATGTATGGTTTTGATTTTAAGAGAGGCAAAACCAGTTTAAGGGACTAATGTTACTTTTCTAAATGAATAATGTGTTTTTTGTAATTGGTCTGATCTGATGTTGTGGAGTAATTCTCACCCACACCCTCGTAAATAGGATTGTCACTATACTTCTGATAAGTTTCTTGGCCACTGGGCTTGTGTTTCTTCGTGTCCTGGGGTGTAGGTTTTTCTTGCTGTGTAAAAAAGAGCTTGTGATCAGTGTTGCAAACACCTAAAATCTAACCAGCTTCTTACAGTGACACTTCTGCATCTTTCCTAGAAATGGTTCCCACCAGTTCTGAGTACTTTGTAGTCATTACCAAGGTGTAAGTACCTTTATTGGAATGCAGCAGTTCATAACATGTGTTTATAATAGAAGAAGGAGGATTCTTAAATTGAAAAGGGCATTTGTGCTTGCCACATAGAGATGTGGATTTAGCCATACATGAGGGGCCATAGACTTTAAAGGGGCATCACTGGTCCCTAGATCTGCAATATTTATGTGGCAGGTAGTAGATGTTACAGGGCTCCCTGCGTTCTGCACAGGGTTCCAATGGAAAACCGGTTTTCCTGCTTGGTGCCAGCGTTGTTCCTAGTTTGAGCTTCTGACTGGTTTTGACATTTTGATTGAACTAAAGCAGTACTGTGTCTCTTTTTCATGGTAGCTGTGACTTCAGCAGTCAGAGGAATAGCAACTACTTGAGTAGGGGATTGTTCCTTGGGTGTTTTATTAATCCCTGTTGCTCCCTGTAGCAGATGCTGACCCAGAGGTAACTATGGCAATGCTGCGGTGGATCTACACAGATGAACTGGAGTTAAGAGAAGATGATGTCTTCTTGACAGAGCTCATGAAACTAGCAAATAAGTTTCAGCTCCAGCTGCTTAGGGAAAGGTGAGTCTTGGTAAATACAGTGAATCTTCTTGAACTCTTAAGCCTTGTTTGACTAGAAATAAGATGAGAGCTGCTGGCAGTTGGATAAAATCCTGCTTTTTCGAAGTATTGAGGTTTAATAATACAGCATGACATTGAGTTTGCCATGGGAAATGCAGCCTTGCACTACAGTTAAACTGTAGCAGTTTTCTCATGGCTTGTATGTTTACTTTCTAGTTCCACTCCCAGTCGAACTAATAACCCTCATTTGACATTAAGAGGAAGCAGAGATCAGTATATTAGTAACAAGCTCTGGAGAGTTGCAAGAAAGGCATTGTTGAAGAGAATGCTAAGGAGAGTCAATGGCAAGTGGCTTGCAATAGTAAAATACCACACATGAAAAATAAACTTGAATAGCAGTTCTGTGCATCTTGGTGGCAACTTTTCTTCATAAAGAAGGTTAATGTAACAGTACAGTGCTTTGCCATTTTGAAGAGATAATGATTACAGCATTCTAGTAGGGTCTAGCATGTTATCTTGAATGTTCAGAGTGTTCTAAATAACTACTTATAGTTAGTGAGAAACCTGAATGTACAAACTGAAACCTCAAGTTCTGTACAACTTCAAAGCCTTGACTTTAGTCAAAGATAAAGTACCTTTTGATATAATAATGCCCATGGGGTGTCTGGGCTGTAGCAGTGCATGGCACTCGTAATCTATGATTTATGTGTGATTCAACATGAAGCAAAGTAGATCGCTGTCACTTCTTCTGACCATAGTTGACATCTGTAAGGCCAATGCTAAAACTACCTTCAGGTTTTGCACAAGCCTAAAACTGTCTCCATGTGGTACTACTGAAACATTCCTCAGCTGTTGCCTGGTCACGGTAGTCTAGCAAGAGGGTCCACATACAGTATCCTGTTAGTAATTGCCTTTGTAGGTATAAAATCACTTAGGTTGGAAAAGACATTTAAGATTATCAAGTCCAGCTATTAACCTAGCATTGCCAAGTCCACTGTTTCCTCTTGTCCTATCACTTCTTTCTTGGAAGAAGAAATAGACCCCACCTTGCTACGACCTCCTTCCAGGTAGCTGTGGAGAGTGAGAAGGTCTCTTCTGAACCTCTTTTTCTGCAGGGTAAACAACCCCAATTCCTTTAGCTGCTTCTCACAAGACTTGTGCTCCAGGCCCTTCACCAGCTTTGTTGCTCCTTACTCCATGTCTGTCTTGGAGTGAGGAGCCCAAAACTGAATATGGTATTTGAGGTGCTGAGTATAGGGGACAATTACTGCCCTAGTCCAGCTGGCCACACTATTGCTGATCCAAGCCAGGATGCTTTTGGCTGCCTTGGCCACCTGGGCACACTGCTGGCTTCTATTCACCCCCAGACTATCAGCCAGAACCCCTGGCTGTGCTTTCTGACAAGACAGAGCCAATTGGCAAGGAACAGCAGTGACTCTGACAGGACTCTGCTCTTATGGAAACTATCTTACAAGGCTTCTGATTACAGTGTGCTCATGCTGCTTAGCCTTCTAGTAAACCAAGGTCAAGCCATTTTCTAGTAGCATCTAGGGAAAAAGAGTCTATAGGACCCTTTAACAGCATGGGAGAGTGATTACAGTAAATCTGTTTCCTGATTACCAAGTTCTGGCTTTCCTATTTCGACAGATGTGAAAAAGGAGTTATGTCACTTGTTAATGTCAGGAACTGCATTCGCTTCTATCAGACTGCTGAGGAGCTGAATGCTGGCACTCTGCTCAACTATTGTGCTGAGATAATTGCCAGTCACTGGGTAAGTAGTCACTGTCAGAAGGAAGCAAGAGGGAAAGTACTTACAGAGTATAGGAACTTAACCAATAGAATTTTGCTTAACCTGCTGTACTGTTACAGGAGTATCTTTTGGTATGCTAGTATTCAAGCATTCCAGTTGGGATGGGGATTACTTGATTCCTTGTAATAGGTCACCTTAGTCACTTAAATTTATGCTGACCCTCACAGGTTTGCAGGGAGTAGCAGTGTTGATAAAAAGCTGTCAAATCTACCTGCCTTTCCTCCTGTTGTGAGCCATGGGGCTGCTTCTGAGGCAGGAGTGACTTTTCCCGTCAGTCTCATTTATAACACATGCTTTTGCTTTTGACATTGGGTGATGTTTGGTAATTTCTGCATTACAAATTAATAATTCTATGTTTGAAAAAAAAGGGAAGATCACTAATGGATCTTGAAACTAAAATGTAAGATGTAAAACTTCGTGAGAGTTTCTTCCTAGTCTTAAAAGGGCTATCTTGGATTGTTCCTGCTGCTTGTCATGTTATCAAAATGGAGCTTTTAACTGAACTTGTTTTGTAAATGTCATAATTATTGTGCAATACCTTGTTCCTAAAGAAAACAGGAGTACTGCTTACCCTGTTTTATTGCTTCTAGGATGACTTGCGTAAAGAAGACTTCAGCAGCATGAGTGCTCAGTTACTGTATAAAATGTTCAAGTCCAAGACAGAATATCCTTTGCATAAGGCTATTAAAGTTGAGAGAGAAGATGTAGTCTTTTTGTATCTTATTGAAATGGATTCACAGGTACAGTGAGACTGACTTGATCTGTCTTCTGGAATTTGGTGTTTCATGTAACTAGTTTCTAACTATTAGTCTGAACCTTGTTAGATTTTTGTGGCTAATTCATATTTGCATGTTTATCGTTGCCATAGCTACTTCTGTGTTTGTTATGGAGCGCTCATAATAAAGGCTCCAGAAAGACTTAATTCAGAAGCGATTTGTAATGCTAGTTTTAAAACAGTTTACATTCAACAAATTATATCTAATAAAATCCAGTACCTGATGTTGTGATGCACATTTAAAGCTGACTGGTATAATAGTCAATTTTGCTGCTTCATGGCAGTTCAGTAAGCATCATTTCTTTGAACAAATGCTTTTCTTCTGTTAAATGTTTGAGGTAACAGCTCTTTGTTCTGATCAGATGAACAGGTAAGTTGCTGAGCAGGTAAGTTCTCCCCTAGCAAGGGAGAAGGAAGAATTATTCAAGTATTATCAGGAATTATTCAGTTAGTCCTTTGATGCCTGAAATCCTAATTGAAGGCTGGGACTGTAGCAGTACTTAGCACACTTAGGTGCTGATCCAGTTGGGATTTGAAGTCTCTTAAAGGAATGATTGAACAATTCTTCCTAGTATTATGTTGAATAAAATATTTAGGTGGCATCTTTTAAGACCGTAGTGGTCTTGCTTTGTGTGAGTTAAGGCTTGCAAACAGAACTTGGTTTTCTCATCGAACGCCATCTCATGTGGTGATGCTACTCTGATGGTTTTCCTGTGTAAGATGCACCTACCTAAATGCAACACAGCATTTTGCATTAGAAATGAGGGTCTGACATCATGGTAGTTGAAACGGGCTATTAAAGTGTTTTGTTGGGCTGGTGAACGTACATCTAATGTCAGTTGACTGAATTTGTGTTGTAGCTTCCTGGGAAGCTCAATGAACTGGATCACAATGGAGATCTTGCTTTGGATCTAGCCCTTGCCCAAAGATTGGAGAGTATCGCAACTACGCTTGTCAACTACAAGGCTGATGTAGATAGGGCAGACAAGAGTGGCTGGAGTCTGTTACATAAAGCCATCCAAAGAGGTAAGTAAATAGTATATGAAGCCTTGTAACTGGCAGTTGTTCCCAGTGTAGAATACATATTCCAAAGTCTAGTCCTGTGTCACTTCAGTTGTCACTGCAGTGAGAAAATTGTCAGGGGTGAACTTTGTCCCATTTCTTGTTTTGAACTTAAAACCAAACAAACATTTATTTGGCATCTGAAAGCCAGTCTGCTGGCTGGTGAATGCAACTGTCACTGCATGACATCCAGAAACAATCTAGTAGAGCATTGTGTGCCAAAGGAAGAAATGTGGGGAGATACTGAGAGTATTCTGATTTGACAACACAATGTCTTTCTGCTAAACAGCTGAATCGAGCATGACAGCCTAGTCACAAATCAAGATGATTCTATGAAGCCTTTTTCTAGACCTGGGTTGAATGCAGCATATGTTTCTTTCTGATGATGGTTTAACAGCAAGGGTTCCTGCTACTGAACAGCAGTTCAGGGGAGGAAAACTGACTGGAAGAGGAGGAGCGGGTAGAGATGCTTCTATGTCAGTTTGAATATCTTCAAAGCTCTAGTGAATAGTAGCATAGTTACTGGAGTGGAGTCTGAATACAGCTACATGATTATCTTGAGCTGTTCTCCACATTAGAGTGGAGAATGCATCATCTTGAGAGAACTGGAGCACAGTAGGACCTGGTTGCCACTACCACAGTACTTTGAAGGCTTTGGAGTAGCAGCATCTTGGGACTGTGGCCAAAGTCTGGTTAAAAATCCGCAGCGAACACCTTGTGCTACTGGTTGCCTTCACTGATACCTTTGGCAGCTCTGTCTGTTCCAGAAAGCCAAGCACAGCAGGAACCTTAGCTGTGACTGGACCTCATGGGTATTGTACTGCTACAGATGAAAAGCATAAGTTTGTTTGTTTAGTAAGCTCTTTTGGACTGTTAGAAATAGTTTAAGTGTTGTGAGCTCAAAATACAGCTCCCGACTTCTTCCTTTAATCTCCTGCATATCTAAACAGGGTAATGCTGGTGTCTGATCCTGTGAATGAAACTGCAGCAGCAGTAGGAGACCTTCTAGGCATAGGTCAGTGTTGTGATTGCTGCAGCCCTCTGAAGCACTACAGATTGCAGCAGGCTGCTCTTCATACTTAATACTAGTGTTTGTCCTCTAGTTCTAATGTCTGCTTTCAGTCTAAGCTAGAGCTCTGAGAGTGAATGCTTGCTTTTCAGTAACCAAAGCCTCAGGGAATTAATCACTGTTAACAATCACATGTTCTGGAAATGGAGCTAAAGCAAGTTGTCTGAACTTGCCACATGATTCTCATTTCTTATCAATGGAGAGTGGGGGAATGTCAGATGTGGAATCCAGGAAATGGGATTTTGGTTTTTGCTGACAGATATAATATAGCAACCTATATTGTTTAAAGAGTGGAACAGTTGTCTTTGCCCTTCAGTCTTGCATTCAGGACAAGCAACTTGTGAATATGTCTATTCAAAGTAATCTTTGGAGTAAGGGGAATTAGTATTATCCTGAACTGATTCTCTGCATCTCTGTTCCATGTACTGCAGTGGGCATAAGTTCTGACTTCTGAGCTCTCTAGAGGGAGTTCTTAGGATTGCTGTGCATGGTGCATCTGAACTATTGCAGCCTTTATCCTATATATAATGGGGCCGAAACTCTCAAGAGCAAAGGCTGTGCTATTGCTTGTTGGTGTAGCAAGACTGAACGAATTATGACTAACTTCAGCTACACACTTACGACTGGTGCCCTGGAATAGTAACTTTTGATCAAAAGCTACTCGTGTGTTTAGTCTCACAGTTAGTCCAGCTGTGCATTAAAGCAGCAGTGGATTTGTCGTGATAGAGGAACTAGCAATCTCAGTATCCCTGTAACAAGTAAACTAGTGTGTGAACTTTAATCACGTGTAACCTCTGGGCAAACCACTTTTTCCAAGGGCTTGTTATGAAGTATTTTAGTCTTGGCTTTGCAGGGAAGTGCTCTTGAAGTTACCTATTGCTAAGGCATTCTAAGAGCAGACACTTCTATTGAAATGATTATATGTTACAGAGGGAAATCAAGTGTATCCATTTTCTGCACTTGTAGAGAGGGTGTATGAAGTACATATCTGTAAATAACCTTGTTTTGTTTCACAAAAGGCGATAAATTTGCTGCAAACTTTCTCATTAAAAATGGTGCCCGTGTGAATGCTGCTACACTGGGAGACCAGGAGACTCCTCTGCACCTTGTGGCCTCATACAGCCCCAAGAAGCATTTACCAGATGTCATGGCAGAGATGGCACAGATAGCAGAGTCCCTCCTACAGGCAGGAGCCAATCCAAATATGCAAGACAGCAAAGGAAGGTAAATGCTAGGTGAAGTCTGCTACCAGTTTAACAGATCACATTGTAGTGATTAGATGCAGCCTGCTAAGGACTTGCTCAGGTCTGTCAGCAAAGCACAAGGGATACTGGAAGCAGGAAAGGTCAATTCATTAATCCAGTTTGAGACCTGTGGGTAGCACTCAAAGCAGAAAGCTGTGCAGACTGCATGGTACCCTGTCATGACCAATTAAAGGTAGCCAGCTATAGAAAGCTGGGGTGAGCTGGTTGTGTTAGCACACATGGCACACAATTACTTTGCCTTTATTGAATCACTGAACAGTAAAGCAAGCTAACTGAGATGACAAATAGTATTTCTGAAAAGTACTTCTCTTTGAAGCTGTCAGTGAAACTGAAATGATCTCTAAGAGCCAATATCTGCAGCATGTTTATCTGGAGTGCTGGGCCTGTAAACTGCTTCACAGGTCAGGTTGGGCTGGCAAACAAGTACATAAAACTTGTACTTAGGCTGATATGCTCCAAGTATAAAAGACTTAGAGTGTATCAGCCTCTCAGGCCAAGCTCTTCTGCTTTTTCTCAGGCCTTCTGATAGGCCAAGCTGTTCTGCTAACCCTGAAGGTTAGCTCTTACATTAGTGTAAAGAGTTACTTCCTACTAAAGTAATAGGAGTTGTATGCACCAAAAGGGTAGATTGCTCTTTCTTTCAAGATGTGCTTCTGCCCTTCTGAAAGCAGAGACAAAAGTTAGCCCCATAAATGTGTAGGGACATGTTGGTGACCATGGACAAAACCTTAGTGTCTCACTTAGTACTAATGTAACTGTACTTTCCTCCAATTACAGGACCCCATTACATGTGTCAGTTGTGGTCAGGAATGAACCTGTATTCAGTCAGCTTCTCCAGTGCAAGCAGTAAGTCTCACTTAAATGTAAAATACACTGAGGTTACCTTGTACAGTGAAGATATGCAGGCTGGTTTAACAACTCTTCTGTGCCTTTTTGACATACAATAAGGCTAACAATAAGCTTGGGATGTGAAAGTGGAAAGGCTTTATGTAATAAGATGTCAGATGCCAAGTAAGTTTTTGCCCTACTGTAAAGAGGAAGCAAACTGCATCTCTGTTTCAAAGAGGGATTGGTGAAATAGTTTAGCAATAACTTCATTTGTGGTGGATTTGAAAGGAGTGATAAGACTTTTAAAATGTGCGAACGTGTTCTTGAGTTCAACTTGGGTTCTGCTTAAACCTGATACAGGTGACTTCTTAAGGTGATGAAGCAGAATAGTTCATTTGATTCAGTTTCTTTGTAGCTGAATTTGCAGTTCTTGTACACAGTTTACTCAAACATGAGAGAATTTGCAGGAGCCCACATGTACCAGGGCCATGCTTCTCCTAGGAGCAATGAGCTTAAATCTAGTAGTTACTATAAGGTGTCTAGCTTGTTTCAGAGTTGTCACGAACTGCCTGAAGTAACTGGAGCTACAGTAGGCTTCTTGGCAAGCAGAAGTTGTCAGTGAGGTGTTAGATAAGCTAGTACAGCTGTTCAGACAGTTGAAACTTAAGCTGCATTGAGGAACCACTTTTTAAGGTATAAATTGGGGAACATTAACTCTTATTTTTAGACTAGACTTGGAGCTGAAGGATCATGAAGGAAGCACAGCTCTGTGGCTTGCAGTTCAGTATATCACTGTGTCGTCTGATCAGTCTGTAAACCCTTTTGAGGATGCCCCTGTTGTAAATGGAACCTCATTTGATGAGAACAGTTTTGCAGCAAGGTTGATCCAGCGAGGCAGCAATACAGACGCTCCAGACACAGTAACAGGTAAAACAGAGGTTTGTATTTCTGTGTAGGTGGAAGGCTTGTAAGTTAATTGCTTAATGCTAACTGCACTCTGAGGAGCTGAGTGAGGTTTCAACGGTACTTGCTGCATAATAAATGGTAGGTGATAGTAGCTTTACCCAGAGCTGGAGCACGGGCAGTCTGAAGCTGAGCTTGACTTGCAGGAAGTGACAGATAATCTGGACTCCTTGCCAGATCCCAATATCCTCTTTACAGTTTCAGAATATGTAATTGATGAATGATAGTGCTTGTGACAGTCCAGCATTGCAAGGCGACTATTAGTAGGTAGGATTTTCATTGTTGCCTTCAAATTTTATGTTCTGTGGTAGTAGGGTAGGTGTTAGTAAACTCGTTAGCATCAAAGTGTGGTTGGAACAGCACTCTAAACAGTGTTCATGGTTTTTCTTTAGGAAACTGCTTGCTTCAGAGGGCAGCTGGTGCTGGAAATGAGGCAGCTTCTCTCTTCCTTGCAACTCATGGAGCAAAAGTCAACCACCAAAACAAACGGGTAAAAGCAGATACTAATAGACTAGTCTGAACTTCCTTATTTCCCTTCAGAACTAAGCAGAGATCTCTTGCTGCCAACTAGCTTAAAGCAAGTTGGAATGCTTGCTGAGCCTTTTGCATGTTTTCAGATATTTACTAGTGATCAGACAACTGTTGCATTCCCCTGGCACTGTTCTTGCAGCATCTCCAGTTGTTAACATGCTTTTAACAGTGCCTCTTGTAATAAAGTTCTATATATAGGCTAAGTCATGTTGTTTGAAAGTCCTAAGGAGCTTCAGCTGCCAGGATTTAAGCTCTTCACACCAATTCTTGTGGGCATAGTAGTTTAAAAGCTACCTCTTTTCATGTCTCAAGCTGTTAACCTAGTTGAAAATAATAAACCCTGTTTATTAAAGGGAGAAACACCACTGCATACAGCCTGTAGGCATGGCCTAGCAAACCTGACAGCAGAACTGCTGCAACAAGGAGCCAATCCAAACATTCAGACAGCAGAAGCAGTGCTTGGTCAGAAGGATGCCTCTTCTCCAACAGCAGAGCATGTTTATCTGCAAACTCCCCTTCACATGGCTATTGCTTACAATCACCCAGATGTGGTGTCTGTCATCCTGGAACAAAAAGGTAGGGTTTTTTTCTGGTTCAGACTGTAGTGGATCAGTGTTGTCAGGATGGCATCTAAACTGTGTTTTGACAAATTGCTAATTAAAGCATGTCTTCCTTTAAACATTAAGTAGAGCAGTTAAGAAGACTACCTGAACATAGTCTTAAACTCACACCGTCTGCTTGTTAAGACTAGAAAATTAACTTGTCCATGAATCTTTCTAAATTCTCCTCTGCATTTGGTTCAGGTAACTGCTGGAAGCAGAAACAGATAAAGGTGTATTTCTGTGGCGAGACTTCTGCCTCCCTCAACTCCTTCAGGAAGAGGATTTTGTACAGAGTAATGCTAGTATTAGGTTGGAGACTGGAGAATTGAAACACAGATGTCATTTTATTAAATGCTACTAGTTCAGCTTCTCCTTTCTAGCAGCAGGAAGGGAGTTTGACAGCTGAAGCAAGGCCTTCTTTGTCTCCTACAAAGTGGCATTAAGAAGGGAGTGGGTGAACTGGGAAAAGCTTCGTCCCAGGGAGCTGAGGAGGGATGCTGCCACCATCTTGCAGTGCAGCCTCCACTATTCATTCTGAGAGCTTTGTATATGGTATTTTACATGGTAATGAAGGCAGAAAGGGGGCAGGTTAAGACTCTTAATATAGAAACATGAATGTTTTTTAGTAGTAGTATTAAGATTAGGCAGTAATGGCAATAATATCTGAATCCTACCACATTTGGGAAACTGAGGTATCTTGGATCTTTCAAACTGACTGCTAAAGGGACAGCCTACTTCAAAATGTGACCATGCTATTCCTGCAGCTTTCAGTGTGTAATTGCAGGTCAAGTATAAGAATGATCTAATTCCTTTATATTTTGTGTTGGTTTTTTGTAGCTAATGCTCTTCATGCTACCAACAACTTGCAAATTATTCCTGACTTCAGTTTAAAGGACTCGAGAGACCAGACTGTGCTGGGATTGGCTCTTTGGACAGGTATGTGCCTTGAAAGCAAGATGATATTGAAGCTATAATGTGTTCCACGTGAACTCCCTGGTAGTTTCTGTATCACGTCACTGTGTTGCCTGTTCATGGTTGACTGTTCTAGATGCTGGTTGATAATAGTTATGCTGACTTCAGAAAGGGAAGGTGAGCTGCTTTTAGTTGTTAAGGGGAATAGAACTTGAAATACTAATTCAGAAGACGCTTTCTTGTCTGGAATGTGGCAGGGAATGGTTTGGGGAAAACTAGATGCTACTTGGCTGCAAACAAAAACGTTTTAATAGCATCAGGATGTTGTCAAAAGATGTGGTCATTACTGAATCAATTTAAGCAAGGCCCTACTGGGTTGGAAACAGCAGCTGTATGGGGGATGACTTCTCATACTTTGGACTTACAGATGAAGCAGAATGCTTAGTGATGTTACTCTATATGGGAGTGCTAGATGTCATCCGTGTGTAACAAACATCTTCACTGTCCAGGCTTTTCACTTTCCTTTCCAGTGAAAGGAAACAACAATGTAGCTTTCTCTCTACTGTTCCTCTTACCTGCTTCTGAGATAAATGAGGAAGAACTAAGCTAAACAGCTCAAACAGTAATATTCAAGGGAATATCTTATGAAGGTAATACTAAAGTTGGTATGTTTGTTGGACAAAAGTCTGAAGTGGCAGGAAGGACTGGGCTAGGTATTGTTACAGAGAACTCTACTACATCTAGGTTGGCAGAACTAATGGGAAAACTCTGCTGTATACCAGGCCATATCTTGTGTCTTCAAGCAAGACAAAAAGTACTCAGTAATCAATAGTCAGTAACTCTGTAAGTGAATATTCAAGTTGGGTAGCTTCATGAATTGGTTTAGTTTATGGATGTAAATTTTAATAGGCTTTAGATTTGATTTAGTGTATCTCCTGCTGTATTACTGAAAACTGAAAGACAAGCTTTATTAATCTTCAGTGTCTCTATTTTATAGAACAGAAGGTAAAACACTAACAAGCTGTACCTCTTTAGGCATGCACACAATAGCAGCTCAGCTGCTTGGATCTGGGGCATCCATCAATGACACAATGTCAGATGGACAGACTCTACTACATATGGCAATACAGAGACAAGACAGCAAGAGTGCACTCTTTCTGCTGGAACACCAGGCAGATATAAATGTCAGGTAAGAACTTAACTGGCTATGTGTTTAGGAGCTGGTAGTGATGACTATATTTATATAATGGCTTGAAGTTGTTTTCCAGTCATGACTTGCACATAGTTACGCATTTGCTGAGGTTTTTTTAGGGCAGTAGTTATGGCTGAGGGATTACACATGTGAACTGGGAGCTATATACATATATAGCTCCATAGCTCAGTACCTCATATTCAGGCTGCAGAGGGAGGTGTCACTTAACAGAGGATTCTGTTCTACCTAGAGTTACAGACTTCGAAGTCCTAGAGATGTGGTACTGAACTTTAGCCTCATCTCTTTGCTGGCTTGTTGGAACTGCATGTTTTCTACCATCTGAACTAATCAGATGCAGCTCTAGCAGCAAGATTCCAGTAGAACTTGCCTCCTGAGTATCAACTAGACAAGATATTAGACTTAACAAAACAGTTACCTGATTATGTGACTGGTAGGCTGTCTTTTTGACATTTGGTAAGCTATACTGTAATGGGTGTCATGGGCACAAACTGCCTAATAATGCTGTTCTAAGTGCAGCTTTTTAATGGTTGTTTTTTGACTGTTGCTTGGGTGTTACCACAGTGCAAAGCTGTTTGCTTCTGGGGCAGTGGGCTGCTGTAAAGGAACTCTGGTCAAATAATGGCTGCAGTTCAGGAAATGAAAGTGTCTCTGAGCTAAGAACTCTAACATGCTTCTCAAACTTTAGAAATCAATCACTTTTTACTAAAGGGAGAGAGAAGCTACATAGCTGTGATGAAAAACTAGCATGGTGCATTTGGCTGGCTGTAGAGTTATGGTCTTAACACAGCAAAAATACTCTCGAGGAGATAATTCTTGGCTTTGCCAATAAAGTACTGTGATATGAGGCCTTACTTTGCAATGCAGTATTAACAGACTTCAAACTGCTCTTATTACAGAACACAGGATGGAGAGACTGCCTTGCAGCTAGCTATAAAAAACCAGCTCCCTCTTGTGGTTGATGCTATTTGTACCCGGGGAGCAGACATGTCTGTGCCAGATGAGAAAGGAAATCCTCCTTTATGGCTTGCCTTAGAAAATAACTTGGAAGATATTGCATCAACTCTGGTAAGACTGTCAGTTGATTTAATTTAGCCTCACTTTTATGCATCTTGCTAGCAACAAAGGGCTCATCAGCAAAACCAAACTCAATGCATGGAGAGAACAGAGTAGTTCTATATCACTAACTTCTAGAGGTTTTTCTTCACCAAAAGTTCCTTTTGCCTGTGAAATCATTTGTAAACGCTAGTCTGCACAGCCAAATATCTTGCAGCCACTGTAATAGAGGTATAGTAACCAAATAAAATTAATATTAAGTTTATAATAATAGTTTAATTAATTTATA